GAGTCTCTGGGATCCTAGGATGATCATTGCCGTCGCGCAAGAGACGCGTTCAGCGGAGGACCGGAAAGAGTGGAGCGAAGTGCCCGAAACCCTAAACCCTAAACCCTGAACCCTTGAGAACAAAAGTTAAACCCTAAACCCTGAACCCTAAACCCTGAACCTTCAACCCTGAACCCTAAAACCAAAAACTTAAACCCTAAACCCTAAACCACTGAACCCAAACCCCTTCTTGCGGGCTTGGGTTTCAGTTTGACGGTTTGGTGTCCAGGGTTCAGGGCGCACTTAGAGTAGAAGCCAGAAAGTTGGAACATGGATTTAGGAGGATTAGTGCTGGGATCCCTTATGCTTTACCTTAAGGGCCCTAAACTATGGGAATTATGGCATATTCCCCATTATGGGTAATGCAGGATTTAGATCATCAACCGTAGGATCGAATATGCTTTACCTGAAGGGCATGGGGATAATGATGTTCTCTAAACCCTAAACCCTAAACCCCTAAACCCTAAACCCTAAACCCCTAAACCCTAAACCCTTTTCTGGCTTCTACTGCAGAGGTCAGGGTGACTGGGCCTGGGGGCCTCGGGTTTTGGAATTCAGGGTTTAGGGCTTAGGATTCCTTTAAAGGAGCTGTAGGGGTTCCTTGTAAGGGATCTATAGGGGTTTGGGGTTTAGGATTCAGTCTGGGCTCATTCTTCAGGGTTTAGGGTTTGGCTTTGGGGTTTCGGGTTTAGGGTTCAGTGTGTAGGGTTCAGGGTTTAAGGTTTAGGGTTTAGTGTTGATGTTGTGCGTGGTGCTTTGTGAACGGCCGGTTGGCCGGGTTTCACATGAAGTCGCGCCGTGGGCGGCCGTTGGGGTGATCTTGTGCGAAACCCCAAAAACGCACGTGGAAAGACCCGCTCCAGATCAATCCCGATCCGTAATATAGGGGCCTAATAATTACCAATATCATTTTGGGGGTTCCTTACTATAATCTTAGTATAATAGGCCCCAAAACCCTATTTTACTTATTAACGCCCCTATGTTAAGTATTTCGGGAAAGCCGGGGCTTCGCCATGCGAGTCGACTGCTCACGGTTTTTTGGGATTCCCCTAGCCCTGCACCTTCGCATGGACACACATTCCGTACACCTTAGACCCTAAACCCTAAAGCCCTTTGCCCCCAATCTCGAGTCCTCGGCCGTAGACCTCTGTCTTCACAGAACCTTCAACCCTGAAAACAGCCTTCAAGCCGCAACCACACACCCTAAGCCCTAGACCTTGAAGCCCTAAAATCCTGAACCCTAGGCCCCGAATCTCTTAACTCACAGACAGGTGGACAAGGGGCCCTCAAAAGCAAGAGCGAACCTTCCGAAACCCTGAACCCTAAAGCCCTAAACTGGTGAAACCCTAAACTTGAGCCTGTAAACCCCAAACCCTAAAACCCTACCGTTTCTAAACCCTAAACCAAAGCCCCTAAACTTCCGGGAACAGGATCGGTATCAATACCTGGGCAACTCGCTGGTGTTCTTCACTTCTGCGGCCCGACTTTGATTCTTGGGGTTGGTCCAGGGGGTCTGAGTAGTTGAAGTCCAACATTCATGTGTACATAGACCCTCTGGCAGGCAAGAGTGGCATCCTCTCAGCATCCCGAAGCCCGCATGGTTGCTGGTCTAAGGTTTAAGGTTCAGGGTTTAGAGTGTAGGGTTTAGGCTTCGGGTTTAGAGCTATGAGAGTATCTGTTAACACTTTAAGGTTCAGGGTTCAGGGTTTAGGCTTCGGGATTAGAGCTATGAGGGTATCTGTTACCGCTTTCGTGCCAGTATCAGTCCTACCACTCCCACATTGCCAGAACATTGTCGAAAAGAACAACAATTCAGGTGGGGCAGGTCTGCGGTAATCACAGGACCAAGGTTCAGGGCCTATAAGCTTTGCAGGGATTTCGTTTTCAAGCTGTTAGGGCTACTTCGTTAATCCGCGGCAATGTATTGTGTACTGCCCCCACTCAGTAACAGTTGGATATTATTCATACTAGTAATATAGATATATTAGGCCCTGAATAGTAGCCCTATTATAGACTGTTACTGTATGGGGGCAGCACCCAAGCAATGTAGAAGTTCAATTTGTGCTGTTTCGTCAGCACGCACTGGGATTCCTTGGACCCGCGGCCCTTTACATGGGTGGTTGTCAAAACTAGGGTCCCTTCTTGGGCACCCTAAATATGAGGTGCCGTATTATAATAGGGACCCAAAAAAGGACCATAATTTTGACAACCACCCACATCAGTGCGCTACTGCTGGTTCCTAAAGCTTTAAGGTGGTTCTGGGGCCAAGCGAAGCAGGGGACTTGGCGCGTAGCGTATCAGTGGAGTTGTAAGTAGAATAAACCGCAATTAGGATGTGTGCAAGTCGACGAAAACCCACTTATGTACTAACTTAGAGAGCAAAACACCCCTTAACTGAGTAGTATAGTTCACGCATTCTAAGATATAACTTATGGCTTTAGCCATGCTCTGAGATTACGGCGACCCGACTACCCTCATAGGGATCCTTAGGGGTGTAGGGGGAGGGGGGTAGGGGGCCTTAAGGCCCATAATAAGGACTAATAGGGCCTATTTAAGGAAATATAGTCCCCTACACCCCGCCCCCCTACACCCCTAAGGATCCCTATGATACCCCTCAAACGACTGGTGCCCTGAACAAGAATTCCCCTGAAGAAGCGCCGCTTCCAAAGACAAGCCACACACACCTTCAGCCGAAAGAACTCCCTAAACCCCTAAACCCCTAAACCCTAAACCCTAAACCCTAAACCCCTAACTCTAAGCCCTAAGCTCCGAACCTTGACTAAGCTTGACACCCGAAGCCTCAAGCCTAAACCCAAATCACTACATCGAAGCCTGAAGCCTCAAGCCCAACCCTCACCCCACACTGGTCACTAGACTTGAACCCAAGCCCTGGGCCCTAAACCATGAACACCTAAACTACGGTTGATGATATACATCCTGCATTACCCATAATAAGGAATATACCATAATTCCCATAGTTTAGGGTCCTTAGGTAATGCAGGATTTATATCATCCACCGTACTCCCTGAACCCTCCCAGTCTTTGGCCAAGGAGTGTAACGTCTTGGCCTTCCAAGGTCCGGGGCATGATTTCGGTTTGTTTTCCACCATGATGAATCTTGCATGTTTTTCGTGTTAGGGTTTTAGGGTTTAGGGTTTAGGGTTTAGGGTTTAGGGTGTTGTAAGGTTTAAGGTTCCAAAACTATAGCTTCGGATTGTTGATTTTTTTGTGCAGGGTTGAGGTTTAAGACCTCTGCATTTCGAGGCTTTTAGGGGTTCTATACGGGCATTTGTAGCGGGGTCTTTCCGGGTTCTGCGGGATTCTAGGGGCTCTTTCGGGATTCTGGAGTGTCGGCCGCAGGGTGTTTGTTTCAGTGGGTTAAGGAACCTTCGTTAAGGAGTTTCTACAAAGCTGAAAACTTGGCCTGCTTTTCTGACTTCGCTGCACTATAGAGGTCGGAATAACTACCAATAGTTGGAAAAATGCCTTTATTGTCCCCATATGGTTCCCCTTATAACTATACTAGACCATTATTTAGGGGAAGCCTTGTCTTATTAGGTTCTCCTTATGACTATAGCATAATATGACCCAACACCGTATTCGTGTTAGGTTCCCCTCATGACTATAGCATAATATGACCCCAAGACCCTATTCGTATTAGCAAGGCCGCGACATTATAGTACCCCTAAAGATCTCTTATAGTAACTCCTGCCGAAATAAGTTTCCTCATCAAGGGAGCACGACGGCGCCGAAGGCCTGAACACGAACCCAAGAAGCTAAACCCTAAACCTTCAGGCCTCAAAAAAACCGCAACCATAGACCCTGAACTTTAACCCCAAAACAAGGCCTAATCCCCAAGCCCGAAACCGAATTCCCAAAGCCTTAAACTACGGTTGATGATATAAATCCTGCATTACCTTAAGGACCCTAAACTATGGGAATTATGGTATATTCCCTATTATGGGTAATGCAGGACTTATATCATGAACAGTATGGCCGACATAGAGGCGATGATGCTATGACTCGCTCGCGCTTCATCGCGCCCAGCGATTCCCAGACCTTTGGCCCGGGTTTCGGGTTTGGGTCTTTGGGGCTCCCTAAACCCTAAACCCCTAACCCCTAACCCCCAACCCCTAAACCCTAAACCCCTAAACCCTAAACCCTAAATCCTAAACCCTAAACCCATTCCTGGTTTTAGGTCCCTGGGTTTAACAAGTTTAAGGTTTAGGTCTTTAGGTTTATGGCCCAGGTCTTCGGATTTAGGGTTAAGGTCTTCAGGTTCAGGATTTAGGTTTTTGCGGTTGTTGAGAAACTGATTGTGCACATCTTGAGATAGAGAGAGGGAGAGAGAGAGAGAGAGAGACAGGGAGTCAAATAGAGAGAGAGAGAGAGAGAGAGAGAGAGCATGCAAAGGTGCGAAAGTTGCAGAATTCTGGACCGTTGGTGGAGGGTGTCAGGCTCAGGGTGTAAGTGTTTGGGTTTAAGGTTACAGAAAGGCGTGTCGTGGACACCTGTTTCGGTGTGCACGATGCGTCTTTCTGGGGAGTTCCGGTACACGTTTGGGGTTGTAGGTTGTGCACAGGGTGTTTTGACATCCAAATCGAACTTCAACAGTTCACCAATCCACCAACTCACCAATCCACCAACTCACCAATTCACCAATGCCTCGCCCCCCCAGGGGGAGGAGGATTGGTGAATTGGTGAATTGGTGAGTTGGTGAATTGGTGAAGTCGTGACTTGGAGACTCGTCTCCTATGTCGACTTCGCGACTTGCTCCATCTTGCTCCTTGCTGATTTCGTATCTCGCCTGCAAGGAGCTTTGACGTAAGAAAGATTCCTGAAAGTCATAAAGAGAGGAGTTCATCCACATGTGTTTCGAAACTGTCTCGGTGTTCCGAAACCGTTTCTCTTATGCGAGACTGCTATTGTGACTCAAGCCAGTATCACATTATATCACAGCCATGTCGTACAGCGTGAATGTGAAGGGCACCGTGTCAATGTCCAGTGGCAAAGTCAGTTTGGTCTTGGAACATGATGCACCACAAGCTCCTCGACCAGGGGCCCCAGACGTACACACGAAAGTGACAAACATTCGTGACATGATTAAGGGCAAGATCAGCAACGGCACAATCATGGTTCATGAGAGTCGCCAGCCTCTAACTGATTGCAACTTGTCGACAATGATCTGTCACGCTCAGGAGAAGCAGAAGTTTCATGCCACTGGGTCATTCGGTATGTGGAATGAATCAGCAGGGAAGGCATTGGTGACGGCACTTTTGCGTGGCAAACGCACATCGAAGCAGAGCACATCTACAAGCATCAAAGCCGTTGAGCACGCCAATGTGGGTCACAACTGCCGATGTTGCCACACGAGTACTTGCACATGTGCTGTACGAGCTGGTTCAAGGAACGTGCACAGTATCTGCATATGCAGTGGCACACAATGATAGCACAGACACAGAATAGCAAGTACAGGTGTAAGATCATCACGACATTTACTCTTTTCCGGAAATACGTTTCGAAACGGCTTCGAACCACCACATAGTACTCACTCAATCGCGCTCGCCTGTCATGTCGACTGCTTACTCCCAGGCCCTTGACGCCATCAAGAGCTTCAACGTGCAGCAGTTAAACACGCCCGTCTTCTTAGAGCAGTCTGGCACCAGCGGTGAGATCTCCGACCTACCTCTCAAAGAACCAAGCTCTCAAACTCAGGCCAAACTCTTCTTCGACATTATCGAGAACATTCATCGTGACGCGGTGAAGTTACCATTGCTGCAGAGCTGTTTGGTGGAGAATCGTTACGATGACTTGCCTGATTTCGTTCGCCCAAAGAAACCATTGCCGGTGCCATACAAAATGCAGATCGCCATCAAGTGCACTTCGGCCATACACTGCACTGTCTTGAAGTACTATTACTGCACTGCGAAGATGAGTCTGTCAGCTGTGGACGATTACATTGTTGGCAAAGCCTACTTGGTAGACTTAGCTCCGAGCTACAAAGGTTGGGCCCATCGCTATACAATACATCCTGACTCGCATCTCGAACTGGTTTGCTTCATGTTGGCGACTGGAACCACAAGCGAAAGAACCCAAAGAGAAGAAGCCGGCGAGTACCCTCCAGACGGGCTTTGACTTCATTCGCAGCGAAGGACCAAGAACCAACATAGGGAATCGTCAAGTTGAGTGGACCGAGATAGAGGTGAACCGCACCGATGGACCTCTGTCAGGATGGAGCACAGGCCTCGTCAAGGAATGCCTCCGCAACCATTCCAAAACTCAGGTGTATGCCAAGCCCCAGACTGACTTCTACCTCACCTTGCACGGCGTTGCCGGGTGGTTCTTGGATGACGTCCTGGTGAACATACTTGGTGACTTACAAAACAAGACCTTGGTCATGATGGGTTTTGCTGAGAAAGGTAAGACACCGGTAGCTCAGGCTATCGCCATGGCCATGAGCGAGTACCACATCATTCGCAACTCCAAGGAGAAAGAAATGCAGCCTTCCTTTCGACTATGTGCATCTCTTGACCAACTTAGAGGAGACTCCGGGTGTGTGGAGCGCCCAGATATTTTGGACGACCCTGACACTAATTACCACGCTTCCAGTGTCGAAGCTGAAGTCCTTCCTAGACTCAACACTACAGCTCGGTTTGTTCGGAGTCAACTACGCATCATATGTGACAACAGGGTAAACGAGGATGCGGAACCAAGCAAGGGCACTGGGTATGTCAGCTTGAAAGCCTTTATGGACATGATCCAGCCGGCATTCCCCGACAAAGCCTCCAAGCAGGATATCATGGCTTGCCTCAAAAGGTCTCACTGGGTAGTCAATCTACGACAAGGCGTGTACTTACGTCCAGCAGGTACTTCCAACGACGACGTGATGTGCATTTCCTGCACAGATGGCGTGGATGATTTCATCAGTCCAGAGGGCAAGAAGGTCATGGCCCTCATGAAGGACGGATGTAAGATTCCACCTCCGGATTGGACCACCAAGCGGCAATGGAGTCACGACCTCCTCAGTATGCTCATCGAACATCGCAGTACCGCAACCATAGTGTCCAAGTCTCCTTTCACAGGCGAAACGACTCGTCGCGAGATAAAGCCCTCCCTCGCTTTCTCGGGTCGCATATGCCCAGACTTCCTTGGGGAATCACATGGAGAGGAATCGTCGGGCGCTGGCGACTACAACCTACTGACACACTCCCCCAAGAACTGATCAAAGTGAAGGAGGAGGTCGAGAGCGCAAACTCCTTCCCAGGGGTACTCGCAGGATCGATGCCGGGTGTCATTGACTTGGACTCGCCTAGCCCTACCCCAACCAAGCGCAGGAAGAGAAGCATGAGCGAGATGAATGTGGTCTCAGCTGACAACTACTTTCCACAGGTAGGTGCTGATCCAGAAGACTAGCTATACTGTTCATGGATACGTGCTCAGTGTAGTAGTCTGCTTTTATCAGAGTGACGCAGCATGGGCCTTGGGGTCAGTACACAACAGCCTGAGTAAGCATCATCATTGTGGTGGCTTCAGTGCCGTCACTCGGCTTTTGTCTGACTGTGGTATTGCCACAGCAATTCAGGACTGCAACGTGAAGTTTGCGTATGGGAAACAAGTAAAGAAGCTCTGCAAAGTCTCATGCCTTTATGGACATGGTGCACTGCACTTCAGAATCAGTGACTGCCGTGACCTGAGGCTTTGTCTTGCAAATCAAGCCTGGCAAAGTAGATCCCGTAGTCATGGGGCCTTACGTCTTCCCGCATAAAGAATGCCCAGCATGCGGGAAAGCCCTCTTCCAAGGAAAGGATGTGCACTGTGATGCGATTCTCATTGGGTCTGAATCCATCACCGACATATTGACTCCATCTTGAAGATATGCAACAGATGCCGTACAAACGTGAGGCAAAACATGATGTTCCTGAGGGGTGAGAAGATCAATACCATGACATACAACGAAATGGCAAGCTCGGGCGTCCTCTTCGTCAATTCCAAAACTGCTTTCGCAATGGATTACCTTCACCTGACCTATCTCAGGCTTCTCAGGGGGCTTGCTCCAGGACAAGAGGCAAGTGTGCTGGAATTGTACCATGAGGGTGATCGCCGACTCCTTCACAAGCAGAACACTCGAGATTATCTGCTACATGCTCTCGAAGCTTTTGCATTGGCAAGGCGAACTCCCGACGAAGTCGTTCAGTTCAATCTCGCGTACCCTGCCAAACACCTTGGTGGACTTCAAAAAGACTTCTTGTTCCCACCTCCGCGACCAGTCAATGCTCTTGCATTTGACGGACACTTCGGTATTCACAGAGCTTTGGTGCCGGGTGTTGAGCCGAAGAGAACCATTATGAAGGCAGGCAATCCACGCAAGTTTCTCAAAGAACATGAGCGCTCATGTTCATGCCGTCGGAAGGACTGCAAACGCTTCGCTCTTCCCCAACGTACTGGAGGTTGGCAGTTTGTACTTGATCCTGACAGTCGCCGGATCCTGGGAGCGACTGAACACCTAGTGAACGAAAACATGGACGACAAGGTCAAGGTTCTTACAAATGTCATGAAAATGAACAACGTTGATGTTGACTTGTTCATACACGACGACGTCTGCCACTTCGAGTCTTACATCAAAAAGAGGCGATACTCACAGTTTGACTCCGTGAAATACTACATCGTCGACGTTTTTCATGCACCCAACCACCTCTGCTCCAAGCGAAAGTGGACACCACGTGAGAAGAAACGCTGTAAGCTAGTTCGCACAAATATTGCAGAATCCTTTAATGCCTGGTTTAGGTCGTTGAACTTCTTTGTCAACGGACTGAGGCCACACTCGCATCGTTTCTGGGTACGCGAAGCGTGTGACTTTTATAATGCCAACCTGAAAGACGTCCCAATTCGTATTTCACGCAGAACACGCGTTGTCAGTAGATCTGCAAAGGTCGCAAAGCGGCCATCTAGCAGAAACTTGAAGTAACCCTCTGCCAAGCGTTAATTGAACTGAATGTGTACATGAGAAAGTATATGACAGCACACGCCTGTTATCGGGATTGCACAAAAGAAGAACGGGCGATGCCATGTCGTTTGCTTTGATCTTTCTGATTCAACACAGTTGCATACACCTCTTCAAATGTTGACTTGCAGTCAAAGAACAGAAAGGACGGCAGGAACGGCTTGCTAAGTAATGTGATGTTTGCCTGACGCAAGTCATCTAATGTACCTTTCCCTGGATTGGAGAGTTGCCTCTTGGGAGTCTGCATCACTGTTTCGAAACATATCTCGTGTTTCGAAACAGTTCTGTGCTCTAATATCATTTCTATATAAGTCCAACAACCTACAATAATAGCATCAAACAGGTGTCCAGGACACGCCCCTCCCTAAGGTTAAGGTTTTAGGGTTTCGGGTTTAGGGTTCAGGTTTTAGATCTGAGGTATACGGTTTAGGATTTGGGATTTGTGGTTTAGGGCTTTGGGTTTAGTTTAAGGTGTAGGTTTTAAGGCTTTGGGTATGGGGTTTAGGCTGTTGGATTAGGGGTTTAGGGCGGTTGGAAACCGTGCAGAAGGTAAAAGCTGTGCAAGAAGAGGCTCTACGGCTTCAGGCTTTGGGTTTAAGGGTGTAGGGTTTAGGCTTTAGAGTTTAAGGTTTAGAGTTGCGGACAAGCTGGAAGATTCGGGGTTGTAGAATTTTCGTCCTACCTGGATCCAGCGGGGGCTTCCTTTGCAGGACTATTGCTTTTGCTTTGTGCTTTTTGGGCCATCTTCTCAAGAAGTTTGGTGTTAAAGGATTCAGGTGAGCCACTAAGCCACTAGTCCCCTCAGGTTTTGGGTTCGAGGCGTTTTGAGTTAAGGATAATCGAAAACAGCGCCGCGCAGCCTGAGCAATAGTGATTAGCTTTAGGGTTTTGCGACTGACGGTTAAGAGGGCTTGAAGGGTTTTGGTTTAGGGTTTGGGGTGCAGTTGTATCGCTCAAGCTTTACATGTTACTGCCGGGTTAGTTTCTCGAGACGAAGTCGTGGATGTGAAGAAGCAGCTGGGTTGTTTGCATGCCCATCCTTCAACTCTTTAAACCTTAAGCAACCCTCTTCATGGTCCTTTTTTCGAAGCTCCAAGGGTCAACCCATTCAATATATTTGACAATATTATGTTACTGTTACGTTGCAGTATATGATAGTTTAGAAGGGGCCGCTGCTCGGCCCTTCTAAATGATAGTATGTTAAAAAGCAAGCCTCTTTAGGGTCTTCCTTGAAAGCATCTGAGGATCGTCGGCCTCCAGTTCCAAGGCCGGGCTCTGGGATCTTGGACGGTTTTAAAGGGCTTTTGAAGAAAGTTCATAGGTTTTCAAGTGTATGGGGCTTTTGTATCGAAGTTTGCAGGGTGGTCTGATGGTGTGTGTATGTTCTGGTCGGGAAGTTTTGGGGGTTTTAGTCTTACTGGTAACGGTGTTCCAGAGGTTTTTCGTAGGGTTGTCCAGAGGGGCCTGGGCTGTCATGGGCATGATGGGAAGCCACAGTCAGGGTTTAAGCAGTTTTTTAGAGCGCTTTTCGCTTCGTGTGTTCCAACCATCTTGGCATGCAGTTTTTTCTTCGACGGTTTCTTTCGCACAAGGTGGAAGACTTGGGCCTCTGCAAGATTCCAGCTTCACAACAGTTTTGGATGTGGAAGTTTGCATTTGCAGTGTGAGGGGGTTTCTTCCGGTGATCTGTCGTCAAGCCGAAATTTCTTCAACAACATCGAGATCACGTCGGCCATGCCCAGATACCTGGGCCCAACTGGAATCTGAGTTGTGGTCGCAAACCCACCACAACGGCCATGACCTTGTTTGCTAATCGTAGCTGTTTGTTCTGTTTGTTCTTTTCTCTCTTCCATTCTTATTTCCTGGACAAGGAAGGTTTGAAGAGTTGTTGTCGAAGTGGGGTTTTAGTGGAGTTATCGGTTCCCACGAGATAGCGGATGGTCATACTCCTTCAGTACCCTGGATACCTGTACCTTTGGGAATGATGGTCCATTCCTCATCAATATGGATAGTGCCGGATTTCGTAAATCAACAGTAGTTTAGACCACGGATTCATGAGCGTGTCTCCCGTAACACGGTCTGTGACAGAGATCCGGATATTAACGCCTGTAAAGGGGGTTGACTCATCAGAGGCCTACATTGTTAAGCTTTACCCCAAACCCTAATTCCCTAATCCCCGAAGAACCCCAGATCCTATTCGGAAACTATGTGTAAGATGCGTCCGAGGGGTTCTCCGCGAAGGGTTGTTACAGATGTTGACTCTCACTCCTAAACCCTGCGCACTAGGCAACCCTAAGCCCCAATACACATCGTAGCTTAATCCTAAACACTACACCTGGGAGCTTCCGAAAATAGGGGACCTTAGTATCGTACCCTAAATAATAGGATCCTTATTTTAAGGACCCCAAAATAGGGTACCCCTAATTTTCGGAAACTCCCACCTCAACCCTAACCCACCAGCCTTCCTTCTGTTGATGATTTTAAATCCTGCATTACCCATAATAAGGAATATACCATAATTCCCATAGTTTAGGGTCCTCAAGGTAATGCAGGGTTAATATCATCCACCGTTTCCATCGTGTGCCAGGGAGCGACTTGATTGGAGTCCATTTACAGGCCAACGCGGAGGCTTCTCGGTCGAGTATGGGAGTTTCCGAAAATTGGGGTACCTTATTTTGGGGTCCTGATAATAAGGATCCTAGTATTTAGGGCACCATATTAGGGTCCCCTATTTTCGGAAACTCTCATATAGGAACCTTACTGATTAGAGTAGTGAGAGAGCAAGAACAGAGCACAAAGAAAGAGAGCAAAGATAGTCTCATCAGTTGTAACACGCGATGTGCTGTTGTACTTTTCTCTTGTGTTACTTGTGTTTATCCTAACTTCTCTTGATCTTCTGTGGTATCATGTTGCTTACCTTTTGAATCCTTTTGAGGTCAGTCTTCGTCCCTGTCTTGTCTGGCTGTTATGGGATGCTTGATTCGGTAGCAGCGCATGTTTAGAGGGTGTTGCTGGGTTCTGGTTCACAACTTAATTGGGAGTTTCCGAAAATAGGGGACCCTAATATTGTACCCTAAATAGTAGGATCCTTATGAGAAGGACCCCAAAATAAGGTACCCCAATTTTCGGAAACCCCCAATTCCCGAACCCATGATCGGAAGAAGACTCATGCTCTGTACGTCCCACTCAAACTTCTGTTACTAAGAACCGCTGGAACCCCTGCATCACCCTTACAAAGCCAAAAACAAGACCCTTACGGAGCCCGTGTGAAACCTCGAATGCTTTCAGAAAAGATGGCTAAGCCCGTGAACCCTAAGCCACGACAAAGAAGAACAGAAGCATGCTAGCAAGAAGTAAAATTCCTACACCCGAAGCCGCAACACCCCCACCTCCCCCCAAACAGGCAGATTCT